AAAAAGAAATTCTCACCCAGGTGATGCTGATACAGTTGGTCCAAGACCACACAAGGAAATACCGCTTTAACTGGCCCAGCTCTCCTGAGAGAGAAATTTCTTCTGCTAAATACTGACATCGCTAACATATTAGATTGAGAGGCCATGCACCTAAAAAACATTTGATCACCACTATTTGATATTGATCTGCCTACAGTGTTGAAAAAATGGATCTTACCTAATGCCAATTTGAGATCAATGCCTGTCTATACAGGATCTATCCTATAGGATTCGTTGGGATAATATTCCCAAACATGCACTCATATGTTTCCTTCCCTCTTGGCAGGATCTCCCAGCCATCCAGCCCCGGCTAGTGGCGGTCAGCAAAACCAAACCCGTAGACATGGTGATCGAGGCCTATGGTCATGGGCAGCGCACTTTCGGCGAGAACTATGTAAGAGCCCTTTCCTGAAGTGCCTTTGGAAGCATCGTGATTGCCAGGCTTCTGACTTGTTCTGTTTTTACCTTTTAGGTTCAGGAACTGCTAGAAAAAGCATCAAATCCTAAAGTAAGTAGATAGCTGAATTCTTTAATTTATATCTAAATCGTGGCTCTTTAGTTGAAAATTAGACCCGTCTTGGTGGCTGAGCTGTAGAGCAGCTTCAGGATGGTTGACTTTAGATTGGGGTGGGGACAGAAATCTCAACTTTCACCTTGAGTGCCAAATAATTATCAGCTAGATTTTTCTCTTTGTTCAGATTATCGTTTTCTCCTTGGTAGCTGTTTGGAAATGGTGGTTTCCGGAACTTGCTGTAATTTTGGATCTTTTCAAGATTTGAAAGCTTATCAGTTCATCCCTGACGGCCGATATCTGAAAGATGAAGGAAATTGATGGGAACAATGAAGGGAAACAGAACAAAAGCCTTAGACTTTTCTCTATCCTTTTACCTCATTAGGAGGCCAGATGAAGATTGTGATAGTTTATTACATTTAAGGATCAGAGAGTGGATGGGAAAGGTGACAGGGAGTGCGCAAGGTGTTGGAGGAAGCAAGGCACCTGTAAAAATCTAAGTTACACATGGTTACCTTTTCTCTTCAGATTCTGTCTTTGTGTCCTGAGATCAAGTGGCACTTCATTGGCCACCTACAGAAACAAAATGTCAACAAATTGATGGGTAAGATAAAACTCTAAATATGAAGACAAAATTGCTCTGTTATTGTATTGCTTCTCCTCCCGTCTCTGGAAGAGAGAGCAACTTTTAGACCATCCCTAGTTTACCATATGTTTTTGGAATTTCTTTCGGAAAGTCTCAGTTCTTAATATAAGGAGAAAACATCATGCCAAGAACAGAATATATTCACAGTTGCCTAGCTTATATACACTTGGAAACCTGCCCTACCTCATGTTTATTATTATTTAGTTGTCTTTCAGAAAAATTATAAAGAATTGCAGCCCATAAATTTTTTTAACTAACAAAAGAGACATTTTTGTTCTTTTTCCTTTAAATAAAAGGCTGCAGTAAATAAAATAGAGTACAGTAAAGTAACTATAGTAAAGTAAAATTAAGAATTGTAGAAACATAGGCCAGGCACAGTGGCTCATGCCTGTAATCCCAACACCTTGGGAGGTGAGGCAGATGGATCACTTGAGGTCAGGAGTTCGAGACCAGCCTGACCAACACAGTGAAACCTCAACTCTATTAAAAATGCAAAAATTAACCGGATGTGGTGGCGCGTGCCTGTAATCCCAGCTACTTAGGAGGCTGAGGCAGGAGACTTGCTTGAACTCCAGAGGTGGAGGTTACAGTGAGCAAAGATCACACCACTGCACTCCAGACTAGGTGACAGAGCAAGACTCCGTCTCAAAAAAAAAAAAAAAGATTTATAGTAAAATAAAATTAGGAAAGACATGGAGGCTGGGCCCAGTAGCGCATGCCTGTAATCCCAGCACTTTTGGAGGCCGAGGTGGGCGGACCACCTGAGGTCAGGAGTTTGAGACCAGCCTGGCCAACATGGCAAAACACGTCTCTCCTAAAAATACAAAAATTAGCCAGGCATGGTGGTGTGCATGTGTAGTCCCAGCTACTTGGGGAGGATGAGGCAGAAGAATCACTTGAACGGAGGCAGAGGTTGCAGTAAGCTGAGATCGCGCCACTGCACTCCAGCCTGGGTGGCAAAGGAGACCCTGTCAAAAAATAACAATAATAATAATAATGAATTTAAAAAGAACAACTAGCAGATTTGAACACACAAAAATTAAAGCTTTCTGCATGTCAAAACAAAAGGAAGGCACAGAGTGGGAGAAAAATAATATTTTTGAAAAGGGAAGAAGTTAATGTTCAGAATACATAAACAGCTACAAATCTTTTTGTTTAATCTATAGGAAAAAAATAGGCAAAAACTGAGGCAGTTCACAAGGGGTAAAAATACAAAAGTCCAGTAATCAGATGAAAAACATTCATCCTCAAACAGAGAAATACAAAGTAACTTTCACAAATCAGGTTTGTAAAAACTCAAAAAGACTGCTTCTAAGATCCAGTGTTTTGAGGGAATGAGAAAATGCGTACTCCTTCATCTTACCAGGAGATTCTAAAACCGTACAGTCTTAGAAAAGCCTAAAGATTCCATCAAAAAACTATTGTAACTGAAAAACAAAGTCAGTAACATTGCGGGATACAAAATCAATATGCAAAAATCAGTAGCATTTCTATATGCCAACAGAGAATGATCTGGAAAAGAAATCAAGAAAGTAATCCCATTTACGATAGCTACAAATGAAATACCTAAGAATAAACGTAGCCAAAGAAGCAAAAGCTTTCTACAATGAAAACTATAAAACATTGATGCAAGAAATTGAAGAGAACATGAAAAATAGAAAGATATTCCATGTTCATGTATTGAAAAAATCAATTCATGAATTGATTTTTTTGATGTATTATAAAATTTGATATATTATAAAAATGTCCTTATTACTGAAAGCAATCTACAGATTCAGTGCCGTGTCTATCAGAATAACAATGGCATTCTTCACAGAAACAGAAAAACATAATCCTGAAATTTATATGAAACTACAAAAGACCCACAATAGCCAAAGCCATCCTAAGCAAAAAGAACAAAACTGGAGGAATCACATTACCTGATAACAATCAAATTATATTGCAGAGCTATAGTAACCAAAACAGTATGATACTGGCATAAAAACAGACACATAGACCAATGAAACAGAATAGAGAACACAAAAATAAATTTGTACATCTACAGAGGACTTATTTTCAACAAAGATGCCAAGAACATACACTGGGGAAAGGACAGTCTCTTCATTAAATGCCATTGGGAAAACTGGATATCCATATGCAAAAGAATAAAACTACATTCCTATTTCTCACCATATACAGAAATCAAATCAAAATGGATTAAAGACTTAAGTCTAAATCTAAGACCTGAAACTACTAAAAGAAAATATTGGGGAAACTCTCCAAGACATTAGTCTGGACAAAGATTTTTTTTTTTTTTTCTTTTTTTTTTTTTTGAGACAAGGTCTCACTCTGTCACCCAGGCTGGAGTACAGTGGCATGATCTCGGCTCACTACAACCCTACCTCCTGGGTTCAAACAATTCTCCTGCCTCAGCCTCTCAAGTAGCTGGGATTACAGGCGTGTGCCACCACACCCAGCTAAGTTTTGTGTTTTTAGTATAGAGATGGAGTTTTACCATGTTGGCCAGGCTGGTCTCAAATTCCTGATGTCAAGTGATCCGCCTACCTCAGCCTCCCAAGGTGCTGGGATTACAGGTGTGAGCCACTGAACCCAGCCTTGTTGGAAATATGTAAAGGTGATGGGAAGAGGGAGGGGGAAGGAGCCAGCAGGCATAGAAGGGGCAGGAAAGCCTAACAGAACTGTGTTGTTTTGGTACCATTTTCCCCTCTGGATAATTGATTATACTCATTCAACCTTATGGCTCAATTCATTTCCATAAAGGCTTCTTGAGGCCAGATGCAATAACTCACACCTGTAATCCCAACTCTTTGGGAGGTCAAGGTGGGAGGATCATTTGCAGTCAAATATATATATGTGCATTTTCTTCCTTTTTTTTTTTTACTTTTTAATTTATTTTTTGAGACGGAGTTTCACTCAGTTGCCCAGGCTGGAGTGCAATGGCGTGATCTCTGCTCACAGCAACCTCCACCTCCGGGGCTCAAGGATTCTCCTGCCTCAGCCTTCCAAGTATCTGGGATTACAGGCGCCTGCCCTCACGCCTGGCTAATTTTTTGTATTGTTAGTAGAGACAGGGTTTCACCTTGTTAGCCAGGGTGGTCTCCATCTCCTGACCTCGTGATCCACCTGCCTTGAACTCCCAAAGTTCTGGGATTACAGAGTGAGCCACCATGCACAGCCGTTTTTTTGTTTTTTTGAGACAGTCTTGCTCTGTCACCCAGGCTGGAGTGCAGTGGCCTGATCTTGGCTCACTGCAACCTCTGCCTCCTTGGTTCAAGGAATTCTCCTGCCTCAGCCTCCCAAGTAGATGGGATTACAGGCATGTGCCCCTACGCCCGGCTAATACTTTTATATAATAGAGACGGAGTTTCACCATGTTAACCAAATTCCTGGCCTCAAGTGATTCGACCACCTCGGCCTCCCCAAGTGCTCGTGTTACAAGCATGAGCCACCATGCCCAGCCACACCCAGCTAATTTTTGTATTTTTTGGTAGAGACAGGGTTTTACTGTGTTGGACAGGCTGGTCTCAAACTCCTGGCCTCAAGTGATCTACCCTCCTCGGCCCCCCAAAGCGTGGGGATTACAGGTGTGAGCCACTGCACCCACCCTGAACAAAGATATCTTGAGTAAATACTCCAAAAGCACAGACAACCAGAGCAAAAATGGACAGATGGGATCACATCGAGTTAAAAAGCTCTTGCAGGCTGGGCACAGTGGCTGATGTCTGTAATCCCAGCACTTTGGGAGGCTGAGGTGGGTGGATCCCTGAGGTCAGGAGTTCAAGAACAGCCTAGCCAACATGGCAAAACCCCATCTCTACTAATAATAAAAACATTAGCCAGGTGTAGTGGTAGGCATCTGTAATCCCAGCTTCTTGGGAGGCTGAGGCAGAAGAATCACTTGAACACAGGAAGCAGAAGTTGCAGTGAGCCAAGATTGCGCCACTGCCCTCTAGCCTGGGCAACAGAGTGAGAATCTGTCTCAAAAAAAAAAAAAAAGAAAGAAAGAAAACCAAAGCTCTTGCAGAGCAAAGAGACAACTCAGAATGGGAGAAAATATTGGCAAAGGGCAAAGTACCCATCTGAAATACTTGTACGTAGCACAAAGTTCTATATCCAAGCTCTGTTTTTGTAACAAAAAATAAGAAACAATCTAATCTGCATCAACAAGGGGAATAATTACATGAACTGTGATCATCTGTCCTGTGGAATGCTGCAGTGTTTTAAAAGTACCAGTGGATCCGTGATACTGATGTGGGAAAAAAACTCCAAACTCTGCACTGCTTACTAGAAGTAAGCAACCTATAGAATATTTAGTGTGATCCAATTTGTATTATTTTTAAAAACAGAACAAAAGAAATTATACATTTGTGTGTATGTGTGCATGTGTATTTGGTTGGATAAAGATAGCTGAAACAGATCTGGAAGAATTAACATCCCTAATATAATAGTGATATCTTCTAGGATATCACTATTTAAATCCCAATTATCAGTAGAAATCTGAAATTGACTGTAGATCAAGTCTTTATCATTTCTTGATAATTAGCTATAATCTGCCCTAAAGACTGAAGTAAATGTTACTAGCATCTCCACCTAATAAATGGGGGTCAAGACAATGTTAATAGCTCTTGTAACTGCATAACAAATAACTGCTTGCTGCAGATTTCTCCTCCAGTTGTTAATTAGGGTGAGGGGCTTTGACTTTCTACTGCATATGCTTCTACATTGCTTAATTTTCTTACATCAAGCATGTATACCTTTTGTCGTTTTTTCTAATTTATATTTTTTTCAGTAAAGCAACCTGAGCTGAAATTCAGTATTAAGAATGTAAAGGCCAGGTGTGGTGGCTCACACCTGTAATCCCAGCACTTTGGGAGGCTGAGGTGGGCAGATCACCTGAGGTCAGGAGTTTGAGACCAGCCTGGCTAACATGCTGAAACCTCACCTCTACCAAAAATACAAAAATTAGCTGAACGTGGTGGCGCATGCCTGTAATCCCAGCTGCCCGGGAGGCTGAGGCAGGAGAATCGCTTGAACCCAGGAGATGGAGATTGCTGTGAGCCAAGATGCGCCATTGCACTCCAGCCTGGTGACGAGTGAAACTCCATCTCAAAAAATAAAAAAAGAATGTGAAGTCACCTTTCTGCATCTTAGTATCCCCTTCTGTAAAATAGGGATAACAACAGTGCTTTGTGAACTGTGGTGAAGATTCAAAAGAAATATTACATAGGCCAGGCGCGGTGGCTCAAGCCTGTAATCCCAGCACTTTGGGAGGCCGAGGCGGGTGGATCACGAGGTCAAGAGATCGAGACCATCCTGGTCAACATGGTGAAACCCCGTCTCTACTA